CTGTCATTTCTAAGCCACTCGTCCCACAGCTGTTAAAATAATTCCAGTTACAGCTCATTATTTTGTTTACAAGCGTACAAAAGCATCCAAGCGTGATAGTGTGATTTCTTTATACTTGGCTGGAAAACCACAAGTGGCTATCGTTAGAGCACTTCAGCATTTAAATCTAAATAAATCGTTTGTGTCTCGTACCATCGCTCTTTACCGTGATACTGGTAGCGTAGCCCGAAGTCAAGGAAATGGACGGAAGAAAACAGCAATATCAGCAGAAATGGTTCGAAAAGTGAGAAGCGCGTCGCAGTGGCCGAAAAATGACTCGTGAGCTGAACATATCGCAATATTCCATTCGGCAAATATTAAAAATGAGCTCGGTGTAAAGCCATTGAAATTCCAAAAATTGCAAGAACTTACACCGCAATATAATGAAAATAGACTCAAAAGAGCTACAGAGTTGCTTCGCTTGGAAGAAAGTCAGCACGCGCCAACTAAGAATGGTTACAAAATGAGGTTCCTCGCTTCATTTCCAGCGCACAATGGCCCCCAAAATCTTGGGTGTCTGGAGTATTTTGGAAAGCAAGGTTGGCATTAAAAAATACCAAAGTGTCGATCACCTCAAGCAAGCGCTTTGCCGGGAATGGGCCAAAATACCGCAGAGCAACATTCGTGACGGTTTCATTAGCCGTTTGAAGACCATAATTCGTGCCAAATGTGACCAATTCGAACAAACCTAAGCTTATTCCTAATTTTGATGCTACTTCCGACATTTTTTGGTTTCATTGAATAAAATTTAAAAAAAAAGTACAAATTATGGGGTTTGATTTAATTCATTTTTTTATCTCACCCTGTAGTTATCTATGCGAATGAATCAGAGTTTTGACTATGAATTTTACCAAATTATAAAAATATTCACTACCAGAACGACTGCTAAGATTAGTATGTAGCTGTGCAGGTCGAGGGAATGATGAGATCAATAACTTCCCCAAGATCTTAGGTGTAAAGCATAGTTATGCTGTCTGTGAAAGCAATAAATAGGGTGCTTAAGTAGTAAGCCGGCATCTCTTGGAGTAAAGGAGGGCTTGCTGGCCTTTAATACATATGTGGTAAACTATAGGACGCGAGTGTGGTCTGTATAGAACAGTGGTTCAACTACCAGACACAAAACATTTTAGCATCCTGCTTTGTTGCTGACGAATTTGAATACATAGTTCAGAATAAAGGTAAATAACAGCACAATTTATTAGTTTAGTTTCATCCGAGGTTCTTAAGCCGCCTTGAAGTACTATCAAAATATTTTTTTTTCTATTTTATTTCACACATTTTTGGTAGGCAGAATCTTCAAAATAGTTAATAGTTGTAAACTTTATGTGTTTATACAAGCACATGATTTCCCCTAAAACGTTTCGATTAGCGGAAGCGTTTAAAATATCATACTGTATTTATACAATACAATAATGAAGTCATTAGTTTTGACTATGAATTTTACCAAATATTCATAAATACGCCAACTCCAAGCCGAATAAAAACTGACTTTACACACTAAACTAATTTGTATGTTAAATTATTTATTAATTTAGTTGAATGTTTGTGTATTTCTAAGCACAGAAAAAATAGTATTCAAAACCAAAATACAAATATTTGTAATTCAGTTAGGATAATCAATTTTGTGGGAGCACATATTAATAATAAATATATTAATGTGATAATTTAGGACGATAAATTGAAACTAATTTTGAAAATTGTTCATATGGTAGGTGACTTCGTGCAAGAGAGCAAAAAGCTGAAGAAGTCCTCCTTGTTTAAAATTACCTACAATGGTTCCCATATTGATACGATACCGTATCATTATGTATTACAGCAAATGAAGAGCTTTCGACATGAGAAACGTCTTTCTATTAAATACTCGGATATGCTTCTTATTATTATCTTAATAAGGAAGACCACAATGCCAAAGACATAGAAGTGTAAAGATAAGGCTAGACAGAGTCAAAATTTGGCAAACCCTGTGAAAATACCTTTGTTGGTACGATATCATAAGAACATAGTTTCCACTGTTAATTGATTTAAGCCGCTAAAAAAATGTCAATCTTCTCTTAATACATCTGCAGTTGCGACTTGTGTATCAATGCACCAAATCTTTTATAAGTTCATGTGAAACTAAGCCAATAATCAATATTCGGCTGACCATTTGATGACAAATCATGATCCAGTCATAAACTGCGTTTTAAAAAAAACAAGACTTTCGAAAAGCGAAACAAAAAATGAATAAAAATAACGACGCAGACAAAAATACGAAACAAAACAAACCAGCAGAATAAAGAGAAAACCGAAAATTGTATTACAATTAAAAACTGTTCCCAACACGTTTTTTGAGAGAAGGGGTTTCAAAATTATCTTTGTCTGTGTGCGCGATTTGAAAAACAGCACACAGTTGTTGTTATTATTTTAATGTGTTGTTATTGTATTTTTTATTATTTTGTATTTTGTTTATACAGAGCACGTGTTGTTGCTGTTTTCGCCCATAAACAAATGGGTAAAGTTAAATGGTATTTGAACAAAAAAAAAAAAAAAACAAAAAAAAAAAAAAAAAACAAAATCTGAGGCCATTTTAATTCGTTTTAGAGATGAATTGGAAAAATAACGTCACTAAATTTATCTTAAGATACTCGTAGCTCTCACACCCTCATCCAATTGCATCATTCGATTATTGGGCGTGAAATAGAAATATTTCCTTATAGGTAATACGTTTTAAAAAATTATGCAATACCCATATAGATATGAGATGTATTTATCTTGTTGCTTCAGAAAGCCAAGCGAATTTTGCAAGCATATAGGGAGTGGTAATGGGTTTTAGAAGATGTCTGAGTTCATGTTCAGCATTAAAAAAAAAAAAAAAAAAAATAATAATTGAAGAAAGATTCACGTTAAAAACTTTTGATAGATTCATGTTAACATCTTTTGGTTATATTAATTCGATATAGAAAAGAAGGAGGGCCAAATATGCCCAATGGCCAGTATCTTGTCTCCAGCCATAGGCGGACCAAGAAGAAACACTGTGGAAGATTAGTATAAAAAACCTTTCCACCAAATGAAACCCATATTTTATTTTTTATAGTAACTTCAGCAGCGCAAATATTATTAATATGTAGAAAACTTGGTAGCGTTCATGACCATGCTCTTAGCAGAATCGGAGTTTATAGTGAAACCAAGTGTTTCTTTAACACGGGACAATATTAAAGGGAATCGTATGCCGTAAAATATACTCTTATCATATGTCTTCATAACAACACAACTAATGGTTCCCCTATAAGGGGGGAAGGACACAACGCGACTACCCTTCTATTGCAACAATTCTATAACAAGCGCCATCTATTGATTGAACGTTTTTATGATACACAGGCTGAGATGAAAAAACCGCCGTCAAGGAAATGGACGGAAGAAAGCAACAACATCAGCAGAAATGGTTCGAAAAGCAAGGAAACGACTTGATCGAAACCCGTTTCACAGTTGCCGAAAAATGGCTCGTGAGCTGAACAGATCGCAATATTCCATTCGGCGAATATTGAAAAACGAGCTCGGGGTAAAGCCATTGAAATTTCAAAAAGTGCAAGAACTTACACCGCAACAGAGGTAAAGAGTTGCTTCGCTTGGTCGAAAGTGGTGAACTGCCTAATTTGGTTTTCTCCGATGAGAAAACATTCGTTGTCCAGCAGTTTGTACACAAACAAAATGATCGTGTTTACTTGCCAAGGAGGTCAGAACTAAAGCGTCGGCCATGGTGATGGTATGGGCCGCCATAATAGCCCATGGTCGCTCTCCGCTCGTATTAATCGGTCGTGGCATCAGAATAAATGTCGAATATTATCGCGAAAATATTCTGGAGGTATATTAAAGCCTTGGGCACGCAAACTTTTTGGCCGCATTCCAACAGGACTCAGAACCATCGCACTCAGCACGCGCCACCCAAGAATGGTTACAAAATGAGGTTCCTCGCTTTATTTCCAGCGCACAATTGCCACCAAAATCTCCGGAGTATTTTGGAAAGGTTGGCACTAAGAATACCAAATTGTCGAACACCTCAAGCAAGCGCTTCGCCGGGAATGGGCCAAAATACCGCAGAGCAACATTCAGGCAGCGTGTGACGCTTTCATTGGCCGTTTGAAGGCTATGTTCTACACAGGAGCCAAATTCTGTCAGTCGATATCGAAAAAGTTTCGATTTAAATGCATTTTTATGTATCAGTTTTAGCTTTGTTTAATTAAAATTTTGGTAGAAAATACTAAATATCGAACGTTATAGTCAAAATCAGGTTTTTCTATGAAAAATTGAAATATTTTCAATCTAAAATGATAATACAAAAGTTCATTTCGATTGAAATTTTTTCGATGTCGATATGTTGCTAGAATTTGGACCCAGAAAAGGTAGAAAGAGATTATAACTCAATACTTATAATGACCGAACACTATTGTAGCAATCTTTTTGGTCAGTATTGAAGCCAGCACCTTCGGGATGCTTTTCTCGTTCAAATTTCAAATGTGTTGATCTCTTCTACTCTGATAAAAGTAAAAAATAAATAACATTTTCATAACAAATGGTCATAAGATGTTAAAACGAGATGGATTTCCTTGTAGGGTTTAGGGAAAAATGAACTTGATAATACTACAGATAGCCGTTACTTAGGGAATGTCCTCTGATAGTCTCTTTCTAAGCAGAGATATATTCAAATTTTACACGCCGTTAGCGAATATAAAATTTGCTGCAACAACGCTATCTTAGTGTCAGTCATATCACATATTATTTGTCTTAATTGAGCAGATTTTTAATTAACAACCCACTCACAAATCTGTTGGTTAAATCAACTTTTTGGTAGCTTATATAAACCACAGTTCTGCACAAATAATGCCATTCTCCTATACATATAATTTGCCAGTTACTATTAACAACCGACAGTGCATAATTCTATCTTACTTTTCAAACTTCAAATACTTCAAATATCCACTTACCTTCCATGCATTAACCTTTGGTGGAGGAGCAGCAACAAACTTTTTGGGCTGTGGATTAGGATTGGCGGCAGCAGCATTGCCACCGGCGGCATTGTTTTGAGCTTGAGTTTCACCGTCTCCGGTCTTGGCTTCATTACCACTGCTAGCATTTTCAGCACTAGCACTGGGTGAAGCATCTTTGCGTGGTTCCTTCTGGCCTCCCTTGGGGCCACCATTTGATTTGCGTGGACTGCCATTTCGTTGACGTTGTCTTTGGGGATATTTTCGTTCACCATCTTTGTCAGTGTTGGCATTACCAGCGCCACCACCAGTACCACCATTGCCACCACGTTGACGTGGTCCAGATTTTGGACCACCCTGACCTTGACCCTGATTGCCAGTAACATTGCGGCCATCACGTGAGGGTTTTTCTTTGCGAGCCTTTTTGCGATCACGACGAGAATTAGAAACAACAGGAACAAAATCTCCATTGTCATCAATTTCGGAAGAGTTTTCTGCTGCCGTATCGGTGTTGACGGCAGCACGTTTTTCACCAGCTACTGTGGCAGGACTCAAAACGACTTCCTGTTCAACATCATCACACCAGGACTTATTTGTTTTAAGTTCCGGCTGATTTTCTTTTTCGTCACGATTATTGGTTGTCGCGACAGCCTTATCCTCGGCTACTGGTGCCGGAGCAGCAGCTGCAGCAGCAACAGCCTTTTTGGCATCGACATTTTGCAAAACATTTGCATACGAGAAACCGGTGGCACTGCCACCAGTAGCAGCAGTGGTAGCCGGAGCTACCGCTGCTGTTGAAGTTTCTTCCTTGGATGACATAATAGGTTTGGGAGGGTGTTGTTTACCCTATGCGGCTTCCAGAGTGCAATAACGACGTCAAGCGTTATTTACTCCAGAATGCAAGGTGAGCAGACGCGGAAACTCTTTGATGCTTCCTTGCCCACTCCAACAACGACAAATGTTGTGTACTTCCTTCCTTTTCTGTTTGGTGGACACACACTCCAAAGGACTAGTACTAGCAAATCCAAACTAAAGTGAGGTTGGTGGTAAGAATGAAATGAAAAAGAAGAAACATAGATTAGTTTTTGAAAAAAAAGCGTAATGTAATAATATTATATATAGCACAACACATACAACAATGGGGACAACACCACCTGGCTAGCTGAGTCAACAGCAAGGCAACAACAGCAAAAGGACCGGTTGTTAGACTGCCCTGTAGTGTTTGTTCCTTATTAAGGAATGACAATATTTCCCCTCTCTCTGTTTTTCGGTTATATCTACATGGATTTCGTCATTTTTGAACGCTTGTTTTGTAATCCTTCATAAAGTTCCTTGTGGCTTTGTTTTGTTGGATCTTCAATTGGATATCTTTGATTGAACTTCTTGAATAATCTCAATTCGATTCTTATTGAATGTGGTCCGTCGATAGACAGGTAGGTGGTCGAAGTGGTTATACTCTTCAATGAGGTATTGGGATAAAATATTCCTTGCTATGCTCTCTAAACAGACATTGTACTACAGTTTATCACAATTATTGTCAGATCACTGGGCAAATAGTATTGAACTAAAATTTAGGAAACTTTCTTTGATTTTTTTCTCGTTCTGCAAAAAGAGGAAAATTCCCATTTGACTTTTACAAAGTTGTTTAACGTAATATTTGTACGTACGATGGAAAGAAAAAATACTCTGCTTCTTCTTCTTCTGCCTGCCTTACTTTGGTTTGATGTGAGTTCTTCATACGATGAGAGCTGAGTGTTTGTTTGTTGGTGTGTTTATGTGAGAAGAAGAACAAGATGTGAGGTTAGATTTGAGATTTTCTTTCAATGTTGTTCTCTGCCCCACCAGAGCAATAGGCCCAACGAAAGCAACACACCAAAAGCAGCGTTGAAGAAGAAAAAAAAACATCTAAACATATGTCTGAATCAGCTGTTGTTGTGAATTTTCAAAGTAGGAGAGGAAATAAAACAAACGATGGCAATAAATCAGGGTTGTATTTTCATAACGGTTTTCATGAGAAAATAATCTTAACCCATATATGGCATATAGGACGAATCGGTATGGATGTGTGAATTATTAGTCGAAACATAATTTTAGGATAGTAAAAGGTGGGCATTGACAGAAATAACAAGGTAGTCCTAATTGCCACATCTGTAATGGCAACCTACTGGAACTCTTCTAACGTTTAGAATATGAACTTATGAATTATTTTTTAAAAGTAAAAAAAATAAAGCCCCCGAATTTTTCCCGCTGATTGAATGGAACAATTCTTCGTTATAATTTGTATTTATAACATGTAGAATCGTGGAATTTTACACCATAAACAATATTATATGTTTTGGCATAGAACCAAGTTGTGCGTACATTACGAGGGAAGAAGTTCTCGTTTTTAATTTTGATAGTCGGATGTTGTCAATGAAATATTGTAAATAGTTGTATATTATATGTTAAAATAAAATGAGATAACATTATATAAATTTTACCATGTGGCTAGTTTTTATTTTCACACAAATTTGGATCTTTTTGCCGGAATAAGAACTTTTATTCGACTTTATGCCAGCCAGATGAGTCGATCAAGCCATGCTATATTGGGTAAAACCCACAAAATATGAATGAAATATTGGGGTTTCTCCACAAAATTGAATAAAAGATAGAGGGACAATGTTGTTTCATCCCAAAATAACACATTTTGATGGCCGTTAACGTGAAAAACATGCATGCATCTAAATTTGGAATAATTTCAATGTTTTTCACTTTAATTCAAAACAATATAAAAACTCATATGAAGACTGTGTATATGTTTTGAAAGAATAGGGGCACCAAAAAAAATGTATTTAGGGGGTAGCTTTGTTCTACCTTCTGTAATTGTATCATGGATCTAGCTATGTGTATCCAAATTACAGGTCGAAACTATGGCCTAATACCGCGAATATTGTTAAGACTGACGAAATACATGAAAACTCCACTTCTGACCTTTGTATTTATGCAACCAACTTCAGACTGCCGTCATTACTAAGCCACTCGTCCGACAGCTGTTAAAATTATTCCAGTGACAGCTAATTATATTGTTTACAAGCGTACAAAAGCGTTTTTGATTTTTCAGAAAAAAAATTATTCGTGATGAAATTCAAGCGTGATAGTGTAATTTCATTATATTTTACGGGAAATCCACAAGTGGCTATCGTTAGGGCACTCCAACATTTAAATGTGAATAAATCTTTTGTGTCTCATACCATTCGGCAAATATTGAAAAATGTGTTCGGAATAAAACAATGGAAACTCCAAAAAGTGCAAGAACTTACACCGCAACAAAAAGAAAATAGAATCAAAAGAGTTAAGAGTTGCTTCGCTTGGCCGAAAGTGGTAAACTGCCGATGAGAAAAAATTCGTTGTCCAGCGCTTCGTCGGGAATGGGCCAAAATACCGCAGAGCAACATTCGGGCAGCGTGTGTTTCATTGGCCCTTTGAAGGCCATAATTCGTGCAATTCGAAAAAATCTAAACTTACTCTAAAATTTGATGCTATTTTCGAAATTTTTTGGTTTCATTCAATAAAATTTATAAAAATAAATAAAAATTCTTGCGCTTGACTTTGTTGCAGTTTTTTATCTCACCCTGTATATGCTCATATACATATGGGATCTTTTTGCAAATATGAACCGATTATAACTAACATCAAAAGATTTCATTTTGACTTCAAAATTTTTATCTCAATTGAATTATAAAGGCGAATTGTACTTTGCGGACCTGCATGAATCAAATCAGAAAATTATTTCAGTATATCATCACAGGAAGCAATGGGTCTATATTGTCTCCTTCTTTAACTTTTGTAAATTTTTACTCGAAACGTGTTCATTTACACAAAAGTGTGGCACAATTTCAAGGGGCGACGAGATTACCCTCTACTATTTCAGCAAAGTTTCCCCTTTAGAAAAGTAAAGGAAAAATGGAATATTTGCGTTGTAAAACACTTCTAATAACCATAAAAATATACCCCAAATTGGCGTCTAATAAATAAACTGGACTGGATTTCAAACCAGATGTTCATATCATTGTATTTTTTGGAAAAGTCCACACTGAACAGTTTTCTTTCTACACCATATTTGTTTCAACATTTCTGTCTTTGCATTAAGTTTTCACAGTTCCAACGATTTTGTTTATGTTCTTTCTGTACAGTAACGAAATGTTTTTACTACCAAATATGGGTTAACATAAATAAAGTTCCGTTTCCTTAACAGATTTGCACACTTCTCCTACTATACGGTGCAACGATGCAAGTGCAGAAAAAGCAACGCTGCAACACTCCAAACAGCTGACATAAAAAAACTCAAAAAGCGGGGTAGTCTAATGGAATTCGAAGTTCTCCAATTGAAAATCAACTAAAACAAAACTTCGAAACAGAAAGAGAGAAAAAAGCACAAAACGAAAAACAACTTTAAACCATTCAACACAAACAAAAGCCTGTACTTCCTCTTCGACAACAACGTTGTTGTGAAATCTCCAAAACAAAAACAAATTTTACTCACCAACAACAAATCTGGAACTATGAGATGTATGGATAAATTAAAACGACGTAGTAACAAGAATTATTTAAATTTCTGTTTTTCGAAAATAGTTTTTTTCACGGCCTTTTTTGGCAATATCTGTCGAATTAGAATATTCTTTTCTCTGTTATTTTATTGTGTTTTGATTTAGTTTCGTTATTTTACGTTTTCTTATTCTTTTTTTGCGCGCACACACTCACTCACACTTAGGTTTCTCCTTTTTTCCGTGGTCTTGTCTCCTTTCGGACACTTCAAGAGCAAGGGAGAGAGGGCACAACAAACGTCGGGTAAAGTTTACACAAATATTGTTGTTATTGCGGAGGGGAAACTCGATTGAAAACGCATACGACGAACGAACGTATCAAAACGTAGTATGGCGAAACAATACGTAATTTGACAACTCGAAGAATGTCAATAGCAAACGTAAACGACGACAAGAGTAAACGAATACTCGTGTGCAAGGAAATGACAAAATCTTCTTCTTGCGTTTGTCAATTGGGAAAAATCTTTCAAGTGATTTTTTGAACTTTCTGTCACGATTTAGCACTAATCCTTTACCAAAAACTGTGGATGCTTTGTTCAGTTGTCACTTGGGTACACTTTCACAACACTTTTCACCATATTTCAGTGTAAATTTTTAAAAAATCTCGTGCGACCGAGAAGACATGTGGTTTTTGCCGTTGGGTAGAAACTTCGAAAAGAGCGATGACATTTCGACAAGCTCACTGGAGGGGTAAAGCATGAAGAGCAGAGCGGGGACCATATGACAACCGCATGTTTACAACAATAACATGACCGTGTGTGTCTCTCTGTATTTGGTGGTCGTTCTGCTCTCATAAACAAACCATAAAAAAACATGTTTTTTTTCGAATCAAAAATGTAATTTCTAAAAATATAAATTGAATTAAAATGTATGTTTATTCAAAAGAAATTAATTTTATTAAATAAATTATAAAAATAACCTGCAAATAATTGGGTGGTTCAGATAAACACTTTTTTGCAAACATATCGAAAATATGCAGCACTGTACATTTCGAAATTAAAGTGGAAGAAATAAATACCGTTAAATTTGAAGTATTCGTTTATTTAGTTTTAAGAAATTTTATATTGCACCGATAATAAACGACATTAGACAGACTGAATTAGACTTGAACTCTAGAAAGTAATATGAATAAATCTTAAAATATATATTTAATATAAGATATTTGTAGTAGTTTGTTTAAATGTTTAATGGAATTCTTTTAATATTGGAATTTGAAGCTTTCATAATGCATATTACTGAAGCAAATAATTGATTAATTAATAAAATAGATATAAAAAATCAAATAGAAGCAGGCAGGCTTTGGCGCTCTTTTTCTTTATTATACCAAAAATAGGTGGGCGAAACAACATACCATGGCAAAATTATATAAGGTAATAGGTGTGTCTGGTTACCCTAAAATTTGTAACAATTGTTACAAATTGTTACTGGAAGTCGTCTGTTAACCCGAAAGTTCTGCAAAAGAGAGCGGTTGGAGAGAGAAATTTTGACAGTTCTTTCAGTGAGAGTTTGCAAATTCTTGCTGGACAAATTTCTTCTTGCAATCTCTTGCAACTCTTCTTCTTCTCATTCATCGACATTCAATCAGAAGTTTTCTATTGTTTATTTATTTCTTTTTGTGATTTTAATTTGAAAATATTGTTTTGGAATTAGCAATACTAATTGTTTTTGGAGAACAACTTTACAAAATGTGAAAAACATAAATATTAATATGTTATAAGAAAATGAAAGACTATTTCCAACATTTTTAGACAAATGCCATTAGCAACATGTTTAAAGGATTCCGCAGAATACATCAAATCTATCTTCCTTTTATTGCTCATATTTTTATTTTATTGTCAATTTCCTTTTTATTTATAAAACTTGTGAAATTTGTGGTGGTTCCTTTCGTTTAATTCTTTTAATGGAGAACAAATTGGTTTGTTTTGACAAATCAGCTGATTTGTTGGTATTCTGCAGGAATACCGTCTGTTTACTTTTCGCAATTTCCTTACAAAAGAGAATAAAAGTACCTTACTCTCTCAGAAAGATGTTGATGGACAATTCCTTCAGGAAAAGTAACCAGACACACCTAATATCACTCAAATAAATTATACAAAATTTTTTCATAAATCGAATTCAATATTTAATATGTAAAACGAAAATTTTCTTCTTCGAAATGCTTGCACAAATGAAAATTGTAAAAAATACAATTTAAGCTCTGTTCCAGAACCGCAAGAATGTAATTTTCTTGTTTCTTTTCCAGAATTTAGAATGTAGTAACATTTTTACAAAAAATAGGACTCTTCATGAGTATTTGGTTTTAGCTCTACGGTACTTTGGCCCATTCCCGGCAAAGCGCTTGCTTGAGGTGATCGACACTTTGGTATTTTTTAGAGTCAACCTTGCTTTCTAAAATACTCCAGACACAATAGTCCAACGGATTGGTATCCGGTGATTTTGGTGGCCATTGTGCGCTGGAAATGAATCGAGGAACCTCATTTTGTAACCATACTTGGGTGGCGCGTGCTGAGTCCTGTTGGAATGTCCAAAATCTGCGGCCAGAATGTTTGCGTGTCCAAGGCTTTAATACACCCTCCAGAATAATTTCGAGATAATTGTCGGCATTATTCTGATGCCACGGTCGATTAATACGAGCGGAGAGCGACCATCGGCTGTTATGGCGGCCCACACCATCACCGTGGCCGGCGCATGAGTTCTGGTGGCCAACCGAAGGTGCACACAGATGACCTCTTTGGCAAGTAAACACAATCATTGGACAACGAATGTTTTCTCATCGGAGAAAACCAAATTCGGCAGTTCACCACTTTCTGCCAAGCGAAACAACTCTTTAGCTTTTTTGAGTCTATTTTCATTTTGTTGCGGTGTAAGCTCTTGCACTTTTTGGAATTTCAAAGGCTTTATCGCGAGCTAATTTTTCAATATTTGCCGAATGGAATATTGCGATATGTTCTGCTCACGAGCCATTTTTCGGCCACTGCGAAGCGGGTTTCGATCAAGTCGCTTCTTCACTTTTCGAACCATTTCTGCTGATGTTGCTGTTTTCTTCCGTCCACATCCCACTTCCTTCACGTCGGGCTACGCTATCAGTAACACGGTAACGAGCAATGGTACGAGACACAAAAGATTTATTCACATTTAAATGCTGAGGTGCTCTAACGATAGCCACTTGTCGTTTTCCAGCCAAATATAAAGAAATCACACTATCACGCTTGAATTCCATCACGAATAACTTTTTTCTCACCAAAATGCTTCTGTGCGCTAGTAAACAATATAATGAGCTGTCACTGGAATAATTTTAACAGCTATCGGACGAGTGGCTTAGAAATGACAGCATCCTGACTTTGGTTGCAGTTTTTCATCTCACCCTGTGTTATGCTAAGAAAATAAAAAAATAGAATCATATGGCATCATAGCCCTAGCTTGATTTTTTTTTTTTGTACCATGGTTCCATCCATAACAAATGAGACCACTTTTGTTGTGGCGTTATCTGGAAATTGGCCAAGTTTCAACTTTCTAAAACCAAAAACATGAGACCATTTATCGAAAAAATAACTATGACATTTGAAAATAAAGTAGAAAAATGTAACGGAATTTAAATGTTAAACGGTATATGTGCATTCGGATGAAAAACATTTTTGTTCTCTATATAATACGCATCTCGTCCATAACGTCAATTATGCACACAATTCTAGAAACAGATATGTAAAAAAACTAAACGTCAAGAAAATTTCGTCGAAACGAAAACCCTTATATGGGGGATACACGAAGACAAGGATCTGCATACACAATTGTTTGTCATAGGCGGTAAAATCCATTAGGTTAAATACAAAATACAAGTATTTATTACGAACGAAATTTGAAACAATTCCAGTGAGTAATGTCTTTAATATCATCTAAATAACGATCTCGGGAGGTATTGTTATATGGTGTCCATGGTAGAAGAATATAGGTAGACGCGTCGACACCGCTGCTGGGACAATGAACAATTCCAAACCAATTTTGGAATTGAAAATGTTGAATGAAAAATTATTTAAATTTGCAAAAATTTTTGAAAAAACGCGGATTATAATAACCTCCGAAAAAAATCTACTTATATTTGAAAAAACATTTACAATTTTTTGACATATTAATACTGCCAGGTATACAATGGATGTATAAATATAAACTTTGACTATGAAATGTTGTCAAATGAATCATTTTGAAAAAAAAATTTGAAAACATATTAATGCATGACTTTACCTTAATTTTACCATGCCTTCTCCCAGTATTCAATATATGTGTAAAATCACGCCACGGCCAAGAAGACTATTTTTTACATCAGTTTGACAATATACTTAATCATTTTTACACAATTGTGATTTGAAACTCTTGGAATTTCAAATTACAATATGTCTTTAACAGCAAACTTAGTTGTCAGATGAGCTTACTGGCCGACCTAATGTACGTCATGTAAAAGGCTAAAAAAATCATACCAAAATAAAAGCCGAGTTACAAATTAAAAACTAATTAATTTTACCAACTGCGGCAACCATGCACAGCACGCCACCGCCGCCTATTGTTTTATATATGATATACCGCCGCCAACCAAGCAACTAGTTTCGCGGCTCATGGTGATTGCGTTTTCCTCATGTCACATTCGTAAACAAAAGAGGCCCCTCGTGGATTTTGCTTTCTCTTCATTTTTATCGTTCATATCTTTTCATTTGCTTATTTGTTTCGTTGGGGACGTCTTTCATTTTGGTTTCTCGCGCGCCATGTCAGATTTAGGAATGATAAAGAATGTAAAGAATATAAAGAATAAAAAATTAAAAATATAAAAAAAAATAAAATACGTTTAAAAAATCCCCGCTCTGACGGAGTATTCAAATTCAAGTGCATATCAGTTCCCAATTTTGTGTGGAACCCACGTCACATACAAACACAAACAAGGGCAATAATGTTTGAATGAATGACGACAGAGAATCGCCCAATCCGATTTTTCCAAATAAGAACTTTGCACGCATACACCGGCATTGTTTACGTTCGTTTTAGAGTAGCAAAAGAGAAATTGTTACTACACCACCAGGGATTGACAGGCTGATAGGCAGGCAAAGTGAAGAAGAGGAAAGGCGCAAGTAGCGAAAAAGGGTGGTGGTATTTTTTCGCTTTATCAAATCACAAGTGCAGTACATTTGAAATAAGATAAAAGGCTGAACAATACCAAAAACACAACGTCGCTGAGAGTATAGAAATTTCAATAGGAAAATGTGTGGAATATTTGCTTATCTCAATTACTTGACCCCAAAAACACGTCACGAAGTCCTAGATTTGTTGGTGAATGGCCTGAAACGTTTGGAATATCGTGGATACGACTCCACAGGTGTGGCCATAGATGCTCCAGGAGAGCACAATGACATATTGATGGTCAAACGCAGTGGTAAAGTCAAAGTCTTGGAAGATGCCATACACCAACTATGTGCCAGTGAAGAATACACGGAGCCTTTAAGGACACATGTGGGTATAGCCCACACTCGTTGGGCAACGCACGGTGTTCCCTCGGAATTGAATTCGCATCCACAAAGATCTGATTTGGACAACAGCTTTGTGGTGGTCCACAATGGCATTATAACAAATTATAAAGATGTCAAAACTCTGCTGGAAAAGAGAGGCTACATATTTGAATCGGATACCGATACGGAAGTAATTGCCAAATTAGTACACCACTTGTGGACGCAACATCCCTCGTATACATTCCGTGAATTGGTGGAACAGACCATACAACAGTTGGAGGGAGCCTTTGCAGTGGCATTTAAATCACGTCACTTTCCTGGTGAGTGTGTGGCTTCTCGCCGTGGTTCACCATTGCTGGTGGGCATAAAAACTAAGACCCGCCTAGCTACCGATCACATTCCCATACTCTATGCCAAAGAACATCGTCCCCATGGCCACAGTGGTATGCAATCAATGTTGCCTGTTGCACGCACCGAATCCCATTCCGAATTTATGCCTTTGGACGATACAGAGGTAGAATATTTCTTCGCCTCCGATGCCTCAGCCATTATTGAACACACGAATCGTGTAATCTATTTGGAAGATGATGATGTGGCCGCTGTGAAGGATGGTGCATTAAGTATTCATCGTCTGAAAAGGTCATTGGATGATGCACATGCTCGAGAAATTACCACATTGAAAACAGAAATTCAGCAAATAATGAAAGGTAACTACGACTATTTTATGCTGAAGGAAATCTATGAGCAACCTGAGTCTGTGGTGAATACCATGAGAGGTCGTGTACGCTTCGATACCCAGGAAGTGGTTTTGGGAGGCATTAAGGAGTATATACCAGAAATACGCAGATGTCGACGTCTGATGTTGATAGGCTGTGGTACTTCATACCACAGTGCAGTGGCTACGAGACAACTGCTGGAAGAGCTCACTGAACTGCCAGTAATGGTGGAATTGGCATCTGACTTTTTGGATCGCAACACACCCATATTCCGCGATGATGTTTGCTTCTTTATATCTCAGTCTGGAGAAACTGCCGACACTTTACTTGCTTTGAGATACTGTAAACAAAGAGGAGCACTTATAGTGGGCATAACCAACACCGTAGGCAGTAGCATTGGCCGGGAATCTCATTGTGGAGTACACATCAATGCTGGTCCTGAGATTGGCGTTGCCTCGACAAAGGCATATACTTCCCAGTTTATCTCGTTGGTTATGTTTGCTTTGGTAATGTCTGACGATCGTTTGTCCTTACAACCGAGACGCCAGGAAATCATCAGAGGTCTGTCGAATTTGGCCGATCAGATTCGAAAGGTTTTGGATTTGGATACGAAAATAAGTGAATTGGCCAAAGAACTATACATGCACAAATCCCTATTGATTATGGGACGTGGTTACAATTTTGCCACATGCCTTGAGGGTGCCTTGAAAGTTAAAGAATTGACATACATGCACAGTGAAGGAATATTGGCGGGAGAATTGAAGCATGGACCATTAGCTTTGGTCGATGATGAAATGCCGGTTCTCATGATTGTTCTTCGTGATCCGGTGTATACAAAATGCATGAATGCCTTACAACAAGTCACCTCACGCAAAGGACGTCCCATTATTATTTGCGAAGAAGGCGATGAAGAAACCAAGTCATTCTCGTCGAGAAGTTTGGAAATTCCACGTACTGTCGATTGTCTCCAGGGTATTTTAACAGTCATTCCTATGCAATTATTATCGTATCACATTGCCGTTTTGCGTGGATGTGACGTTGATTGTCCACGTAACCTAGCCAAATCTGTTACCGTTGAATAAAATGCGTTTACAAACCAAATAGAGGACATTCTTAGCTTTGATGTTTGTAACCAAATAATAGCCGCACCTTGCATTTCCAATATTTATTTATTTTTTTTTAATTTTTCCTATCCCATATTAAAGGGGGAAACATATAATTTTTTTGTCTTATACTATATTGTGAGTGGATTTTTTAAACTTCTTTTGTTTTTGCTTTAAGTATATAATCAAAAATAGATTTGTGCAATTTATAATGTAGTTTAAAACTATATATCATATGTATAGAAATACTTAAAACGTGTTTTATATAGAATATGGACTTCAAATATATACAATTTTATGCTGATACTATATTATAAGCACTTTTTTATCAATCCAAGAAGGGCGAAAAAAATATATCGAGATTTACTAACTTTTATATCAAACCTTCATTCGAGGTCTACAAACTAAATGACAATACCTACATATTTATACCCTACAACACTATGTGTTGGGGGTATTATAAGTTTGATTGGGCCAGAATTTATGTAACACCTCGAAATATTGGTTTCCCATATAGGAAAGTATATATGGATCTTCCTAGCTCGCCGAGCTGAGTCGATCTAGCTATGTATGTCCGTCCGTCCGTCTGTCCGTCTGTCCATGTTAATTTGTAATCACTCTACAGGTCGCAATTATGGCCCGATCTTCACGAAATTTAGAATGTAGGTGGGGTTAAGGTCAGAATAGAACCCTATTTCTTTTGGAGATGATCGCATAATATTTAGGGGTTGAAATGGACCAAAAACTGAAAAATTTCCTGATTTTGCAGTTGCTCTACAGGTCGCAATTATAGACCAATCGACGCGGAATTGCGCATGTAGCTAGAGTTTAGGGCGGGGAAGAAGCCTACCAATTTGGGTGGTCATCGGATAATATTTAGCGGATAAAATAGACCATATCTTTTGTGTTGAAAAAATTCAACATTTTTCATTAAACCGCGAACATTTTAAATCCCGGCGAAATCAAAAGCCATGACAAGGTTACCTCTGATCTTTACATTGATGTTAACATCCATCAAATCGGATATATAGCAAAATATGTGCGATATATATGTCTATCAAAGAAGATATGCTTAAAAGATCTCTTATATGTCGAGAACGGCTGAACTGATTTCGACAGTTCTCATTAATTCAGAATGACCTCTTCGCAGGAAAGAAAAAACGCCTAAAAAATCGCATAAACATATCTCTCTAAAGATGAAAATATTGATTTTGTAATATTTTCTCATATTTTTTCAATTTTGTCATATTTTTGGCATATTTTCATTTTGAATTAAACATTTGGTAATATTTCTACAGCTAACAAAACTAAGTAGTTAGGATATCAGGATATCATATACAGATCGCATTTATGGCCCGATCCTTATGAAATTTTGCATGGGGATAAGATGAGGGTCAGAATAGAAGCCTGCACTTTTTGGAGATAATCGCCATATATTTATGGGTTGAAATGGACAAAAAAAACTGCAAAATAGTTTTGGATGGCCATCCAAATATATTCACTGTGTGAAATAGTTTGCCAACTTTTGTAAACAAAATACGAAAATATCCATTCCAGTGTCTTTTTGGAGAATTCACAAATACAGAAAAGACGCACTTCTGACTATTTCGTTAAGGCTGATTTCGTTGAAGAATATAGTCAAATGTCTGTATCTCACATAGATGCGTTTAAGTCAAAAACCAATAATAAATGTTAATCTTTTGTCACTTCTGAGAGATTATAGGTCTTTGGGAAATATTGGCTCCAGATCTAGGAAGACCATTTACGTGCAACATCTACCTATAAATTGGAAATGAGCAAATTAGTTCAAGTTTCTATTATTCGAAAATTAGAACGAAACCTGATGGTTTTCTTTTATTATTTGTCACAATATCTTGTGGAATTCTTTCGAGTATATGGCCTATATAAACTGTATAATTTATTATAGTGTTGTAGGGTATTCAACGGTCGGCCCCGCTCGTCTGTAGCCTTTGCTTACTTGTTTCCTAATGACAGAGTGTTTATTGAAAGTTTTTTTTTTTTTAATTTGCTACTTCTCATGGTATAATAATTACAGGTAGCAACAAACCCAGCTGATTTGACTCTATAGCAATACTAGTGACAAACTCGGTGTGACGTTTTGCGATTCAGTTCAATTCCGTAGTAGTAGGTATACACTTTTATATATAAAATTTTCTGCAGGGCAATGGGAACGACAACGGCGATTAAGGAACAGCGACACCACATTAGATAATATTCAGCCATGTCACAAAATCGTGAATTTCGTAATTCAAAATCGCTTGTTTTTGTTTTAGTATCTTCAGATTTCGTACGATTTAGTGAACTACGATTTCAGTGTAAATATTGCAACATTATATATTCAATATGGTACCATTATTGCATTATTTGTAGATTCTAGAACACAGCGATTTTAAATAAAAATATAAAAAATGTAAATTTAATTGTGTATTTGTCATTAAGACAACTTTAGTTGTGTTCCAAAACATACAAATTAGTACTAATTCTGCTACAACGCCTTTCCGTACTGCAAAAACTAGCAAAACTTGCAGCTCTCTCGAGGAAAAAATGGCGCTGAGTGGTGCACATTTCTGCTTGTTTTAGCTACATGAATTTGGCCGAAAAGAAATGTGCTTATTGTAAATTTGACATTTAATTTGCAAAAAGCAAAAAGAGAAAATATGGAGGTATTCACTTTTGGATGATTCCAGGAGTGAAGGGGACTGGCTGAATGAGGGATCAGACGAAGAAAACGTATTGGAAAACAGTGCAAAATTAGTGAAAGGTCAATTGAAAAATTAAGCTTAAAATCAAAGATGTTCGCTTATTACTGCGAACATTTTCTTTTTATTTTTTAGGTTGGCTGTCTTCCCAACTTGTGGCATTAAGTCTTCTAGCAGACTTAACATTAATTAAACCGGCGGCTCCAACCATGTTAGCTTCTCCGGGGTTTGCATTTGAGAAAACTCCAACTCTAAATACACTTCAACGCATTCTGAAGACAAAACTTTCTAAATAAACAGCATTCAAAAATATTTATTAATTTTAACTTAATTTAATACTCATTTTTTAAATGTTGGCGTCCATTTCAGTACGGTTTTAGCAGTCCGATTTAGACTGTTTTCTTTTGGAATTTGGAATGTTGATATTTTATCGCATTTCTGCTAATTTTCCGTTCCCTTATTTTTTGAGCACACCTAAATGAGAATGGCATTTCGTACTGTTCTCTCTTCTGCTAGTTTTACTACTAAAAAAGTACTGGAACACAACCAATGTTATTACTTAAAAGTGTTTTAAAGTTAGTTTCCATAAAAATACAATTTCACTTGCAAAAACAAAAATGGTTTCAAATCGAAAATATTTTGCGTTTTACGATTTGTGAAGAAGCTAAATATGAAATTAAAATAACTTTCGTACCGAATTCTCTCCTGTGACATGCCTGATAGTCGTATATGCCAGGTGTCCTAAAATCGTAGAATAGTATATGTATATATGCACATTGATTTCAATTTGAAAGGTAAGTTTCTTTTCCACGATTTTATTTATTTATTTATTCGTACAATGTCATGTATACAAAGTCCTTTGGCCTTCTATAAAAATAAGTTAAAAAACTATCAGGCATGTCACAGAAGTTTTACGAAATCGATTTATTTCACCCTTTCCAAATCGTTACGATTTGCTTTTGCTTCTTCAGCACTCGTACGTTTTGACTAATCCGGAAAAAAATCATTTCACATTTTTGAAATAAAAATATGGTAACTCCATGAAAAAAAAGTCGTAAACAAATTATTGACAATTAAAAAAGGAGTTTAAATTGTTTTTTATAATATAAACACCAAAAGTAAAAATGCCAGGGGCTTCAATACTTGCTGTAATGGATGAAGAAATAAATCAGCGGTCTACTGAAAAAATTCGTCGCCGGACATTGAGGAACGCATCAGATCCTTTATCTCACTCAAATGCAGAGTAAGGATCCACCAGCAATTAGTTATTTTCAAATATATTTTAATAATAATTTATTTCTACAGATTTATAACTTTTTATCGGCTAAATAAAGAAGCTTTTGTTTTAGTTTTGGAAAAAAATTCTCCCCACCTTAAACGTCTATTATCCAGCTTGCAACAACGCTTAGGTTTTTGGCTACGGGTGTATTTCAAGGAGTTATAGGTAGAGATGTGGAGCTAAGCCTTGGGAGAAGTACAGTTTCTACAATTATGTGGAGAGTTATTAATGCAATTGAAGCTGAAATTTGTCCACATTGGATCAAATTAAGAATGTCTTCCGAAGAAAAAAGGAAAGTCGAAATTGTACTTTTTTGAAAATTATGAAATTCCAGGAATTGTAGGATGCATTGACGGAACTCACGTTAGAATGGTTAAACCTTCCGAATTCATGGATTAGAAAAATAATAGATTTTTTTGTAAAATAAATTCCAACAAGTTAAAAAGCAGTAAGTTCGGCCGGGCCGAACTTTTAATACCCTCCACCATTTGCAACGAATTTGGAAATTTTCAAAAAATAAAATCCTTAAAAAATTCTGTTAAAATTTTAAAAATATCGAATATAGCCGTTATTTTGGGGTCTATACGACGTGGACATACATAGGCATTGTTTGTCATAAGCCATTACCATATTCAAATTCGAAAGTTGAAATAAACGGTGAATAATGTAGCTAAAATCATCAAAATACCGAATATAGGGAGGTACCGTTATATGGGGGCTATATGAAGACGTGGACCTGCACAGACAATTTTCTGCCTTAGGGTGTAGTATCCATTTTGAACTTCAAATACCAAATTTTAAACAATTCCCGTGAATAATGTCGCTAAAATCATCAAAATACCGAATATCGGGAGGTACCGTTATATGGGGGCTATACCAAGACGTGGACCTGCACGGATAATTTTCCGTCTTAGGGTGTAATTTCCATTTTGAACTTCAAATACCAAATTTGAAACAATTCCCGTGAATAATGTCGCTAAAATCATCAAAATACCGAATATAGGGAGGTACCGTTATATGGGGGCTATATGAAAACGTGGACCTTCATGGCCCATTTACGAACTTAACCTGCCTACTGGAAAAATAAACATGTGTGAAAAATTTTAGCCACCTATCTCAATTCATTCGAAAGATAGCGTGATTACAACAGACACACAGACGGACGGACAGACAGACAGACGGACAGACAGACAGACAGACAGACGGACATCGGTAAATCGACTTAGAATTTTACGCTGATCAAGAATATATATACTTTGTTGGGTCTGATATGAGTATTTCGAGGAGTTACAAACGGAATGACAAAGTTAATATACCCTCCATAGTATGGTGGAGGGTATAAAAACATGTTCATTCTAAGAGAATTTGGTTAATACAATATTTTCTGTTAAATGTATTTGTCTTCTGTTTATTTTTTACGTTAAAATCACTAAACATTTCAATTTCACCCTGCTTTTTGAACGTGATATCAAAACGCAAAATTTTTGCGTTTTCCGTTTTTTAGAGAAGCTAAAACCGTTTTCGTTTTCACTCTTGAACGATTTTACATTCTGTGACATGCCTGTATAACTAAAATATATCAGCACTGCTCAAGAAAAAATATCTCTTTCCAGTCAAATTTCTCTTTGCTTATTTAAACCATGAACAATACAGTGTTAAGTCATTATTTATACAAATATTTTTTATCCATTGCTTTATAAATTATACAAATACATTACGCGTCGCGCATGTTTAAAAACAATTAAATAGAATCGTAAAATATAAGAAAAACGGAAATTTAATTTTCACTTAAATTATCTCTTTTTCAGCTCATGTTCTAGAACATGGTTTTGAGCAGGGCTGATATATATATATATACAAATATGATATGAGAAAATTTTCTGCTTAAAGCTAAAATAATAAGCTTATATGATGAGTGATCTACTCTAAAAAAGAACATTATAAAAATTTCCTTTTTTCTAGTGATTGCTCGAAGTGGTTTACAGTTTACAACTATACATTCTGGGAATGATATGAAAGCATTAAAATTAATTACATGGTATCATGGTACAATAACAAGGCAAGGTAGAGCTACCAGCTGATTACAGTTTTTTTTGTAAGTGTGCCTGAATCCTGCCAATTTTGTGTATGTATTTATTGTTTCGAAAAAGGAAAACAAAATATTGTCAAAACCAATGATTGGAACACGTACATTACGCGTCGCGCATTAAAGCTATTAACCAGTTTAGCTATGATATTGAAAGATTGAACAGTTTGGATCATATTTTTGAGAGAAAATTCAGGCATTTCATTAATTTTCCGTGCTATTTAACTCATTCTAAAAATGAGGAAAAATATGAAAAAAGTGAAAACAAAATCTTGTATATAATTTTGAATGAGTCTGGCAGCAAGCGGGCATAGCCTCAGGGCTGTATTTCTGTAGTTTTACGAAGCTGTTCTACCTCCTTATTGTACCATGCAAGTAGCATAGTCTATAGCATGACATGCGATTTTGTGGTGTTAGTGAATATGTTCATATATGCGTCCATGGCAGAAGAATACAGGTAGATGCATTAACGCTTGGGAGCATTGATATGTCAAAAAATTGAAATGTTTTTTAAAATATAAGTAGATTTTTATATGTTTTCTTATTCTAAGTCAGATGGAGGCTACTATAATTCGCGTTTTTCAAAAATTTTTGCAAATTTAAATAATTTTTCATTCAACATTTTCAATTCCAAAATTGGTTTGAGAGTTCATTGTCCCAGCAGCTGTGTCGACGCGTCTACCTATATTCTTCTACCATGTATGCGTCACACCAACAATGCATGAAGCAAAAATTAGAATGTTTGGATTTTTCTTGTGCATGACGTTCGATTTTGACGTGTGTGCGGTCGAGGGAGAAAAAAATGTTTTTGAGTTGTTGTAAGTTTAACGGTCGTTGCTAGCACTTTGAAAAAAATGTGAAAAATATAAATATTGATGCCGAAATACCAAAAACTTAATTATAAACTAAACCAGGCTTAAGTTGCGAATACTTTAACCTCTTATTTGGCTGGCTTAAGTCATAGGTTGGCTTCTTCGGAAAAAAACAAAGAAGCCTAGGTCCAAAATCGAACTAAGTTAATCTAAAACTCGTTTTTTCTTCTACGAAGAGGCCAGCCGATGACTTAAGCCAGCCAAATAAGGGCTTTATGTATTTTCCACCTTTAGTAATTCGCCGTAAGTGAAACTATTTATTCTTAAAAAAAAATGTAAATCGCTTGCCGATGACACTCTTGATTCAACTAATAATTTTTCGAGCGCGAATTTTTTTTGTACCACTTTTTCAATTCCGATTCTGTTATTTCTCTTAAGGTGGGAATACATAAAGCGTTTATTTGGCTGGCCTAAATCAACAATCAAAATCGAACTAAGTCAACCTAAAACTCCTTTGTTCCTCTACGAAGAAGCCAGTCGATGACTTAAGACAGTCAGAAAAGCTCTTTATGTTTTCGTTTTCCTTTTCTAGCTCACGGCTAAAATCGCCAAAACTGTATCGCTCGTTATCGACATTGTCTGTACAGCACGAAATCAAAAACAAAAAAATGAATGCATGAACCATGTGAACTGAAAGCTTCATGCACACGTACACTACTTTGATGTCATGCATTTTGACCGTGTACGGTTCACTTTAGAAAAAGACAACAATAATTCTAAGTACATTTGCTATCATTTTACTTGGTTTACACAAAAGAAGAAGAGTCGCATAAAAATACTACTACGAAGGGAAAAATCAGGTCGTGAAGAAAATTGCTAAAGAAAAATTAAATTTTTTGCATAAAGAAGTGATTAAAACATATTGAAAAACATTGCAAAATAAAAGTGAACGTCTAAGAAGATAAAACGTTTAATAATTGCAAATAATTTGCCAACCATATTATCACCATGACGGTGACAAATGGAGAAGGCAATAGCGCTGGTGGTGATGGTGGCGCTGTGAGACCGCGTTGTTTCTTCGATATTGCTTTGGATAGGCTGAATATAGGTCGTATAGTTTTTGAATTGTATTCGGATGTGGCACCTAAAACCGCGGAAAACTTTCGTGCCTTGTGTACCGGCGAAAAAGGCGTAGGCATTGTTACCGAAAAGCCATTACATTACAAGAATGTCATATTTCATCGAGTGGTCAAAGATTTTATGATACAATCGGGTGATTTTTCTGCTGGCAATGGTACGGGAGGCGAATCGATTTATGGCGGAACATTTGAGGGTAAGTGTATAGTACCTATACACATTGCGAATTATATAAAATTTGTATAATATACTATGTAGATATCATGTTGAAGCAATGATAGCATATGCGGCAACAATCTTGCGACGATGCATATGTGATTAAAATGCATGTAGATGAGGGAAGAAAAAAGTACGATCCATATTTATTTAATTAATTTCGGCATCAATCCCTATTTAAAAAAATACATTGATTTATATTGAAATCTATGCGGCTTTCCCTGCTTCCAGAGATTCGTTCTTTATGGTACGTACCTATGTAGTTTTCCCATTGTCTTTAGGCCGGCAAAGATGATGTGGGTGTAATTGTGAAGCTCTGGACAGATTCCAGCAGAAGGTAGTATTACTATCTGTTTGACGTAGTCAAATTTTTAAAAATTCTCAGCATTTACAACTAACGGTGACTTTAAAGTTGAATTCCGGCAACTTACAAAAATTATAATGTTTAGAAAAACTATGGATCGCGTAGCCGGTGTTGGACATGCCCTAGAAAAGAATAATTCAAGCCCCGACTGAAGCCCGGCTATTTTAAAAAATTACAGTGTTTAGAAAAACTATGGATTGCATAGCCGATGTTGGACATATCCTAGAGGTGAAAATTTCCGGCTACTTACAAAAATTACAATGTTTAGAAAATTAATGGATCGCGTAGTCAGTGTTGGACATACCCCAGAGGAGAAAATACCAAGCCCCGGCCGAAGGTCATCTACTTACAAAGATTACAATGTTTAGAAAATTTATGGATAGCGTAGTCGGTGTTGGACATACCCCAGAGGAGAAAACACCAAGCCCCGGCCAAAGGCCAGCTACATACAAAAATTCCAATGTGTAGAAAAACTATGGATCACGTAGCCGGTGTTGGACATAACTCAGGGGAGTAAATATCAAGCGCAGTCCGAAGGCCGGCTACTTAAAAAACTTACAATGTTTGGAAAAACTATGGATCACATAGCCAGTGTTGGACATACCCTAGTGGAGAAAATCTCAATTTCATGATTTGCATTACAAATATCTTTGGAACTATAAGAGATATCAGCACATATGATACCATTTTGGAAAGGCAAGAATATAGGCTATAATGTAGATCTAATACTCCCTAATGGGTCCATTTTCGAGTTTTTAGGTGCTTTTCAAAAAATACTGGTATAAAAATACCCAATGATATCCATTTTGTAGATAACAGTTTTGTAAAACCGGATGTTGTACTCGAAATTTCGGGTCAAAAAACCGGGTAATCTACTTATGGTATTTTTTATTTATTCGAATTAGTCTTACCCCAAAATAACTCATTATGGAAGTCAACAAAATAGTTCAATATATAGCTAACACGTATCAATCATTACAAAATGGTCAGTAAATTGTCCAATCCCGGTAGAGTTGCATTTTCCAAATTTAATCAATCTTACCCATTTTGTAGTTATTGTGTGTAAACCACGCGTCCTTAAGCTTCGTCTTAAAATTCTGTCGTAAGTTCAACATCTGAGCATGAACTTAACAAAATCGGAATGTAAGATTGTATAACTAATAATATTGGATCCTGAAAATGTTTTTAAACGTATGATACCATTTTGAAAATACTGCATTGTAAGCTACAAGCTAAGAACCACCAGCGAAACTGTTAAAACGATCCAACTTCTTGGGTAGCTATTTTTTGTAAGCATTAAAATATTACTGTTATTGTAAAAAAGATATTGAATTAATGCGATGAGATAGACCTTTGCGGAATTCAAGTTGAGTGCATCGCATTTTAAGCTTAACTATTAAATGATCAACGGATCTCAAATTTTGTCCACTTCATTAAAAAAAAAAATTGGAAAGATGTGAAACTTGTCAAATGTTTCCACACATAGTTTTTATATCACGACTCATATTCCCTACGATCAATTTATCAATCAATCAATTAATTAAGACTTGTTTAAAAAGTCTATCTAATTAGAATGTCTATACCATGCTAATACTATAACATTAAATACTTTCCTTTGTATTTCAGACGAAACATTTGATATAAAACATGATCGTCCTTTTTTGTTGTCCATGGCCAATCGTGGCAAAAATACCAATGGTTCACAATTCTTTATGTAAGTACAACCAATATTGAACTCGAATAATGTACAATACAGCCAAGAGAAAAATTAATATCCACTTTATTTGCAGCAAAATTTATATTTATTTATTTTTTCAATAATCATTAATTTCTTTTTGTATTTATATTGATAAAAACTAATAATACTCATCATAAAATATTTGTTGTTATTATTGTACTGTAATATTTATTGATTTGTATTAATTTAGCAAAATGATGATGACGTCATGAGCTATAGCAGGCAGGGCACTCGAACGATGTCCATAATCACAGTATGAGGATTTGCAAAAGAGTTCATTGCTGGAAAGCTCATTTAGCCAGATTGCAGAGAGGTTCTTCTTTAATCCCTGGATAAACAATAGACAATTAAGCCATGGTGTCTGTGTTTTTGCTGCAAGTTATTTTTGAATATGATTATTCTGGAAGAGGGTCCTATCCACTGTTGGAAAGGATGACTACAATTGCTTGGAAATGCATCAACAATTTGCGTATAGGCGTACAACAACATATATCAATATTTTTCCTTTGCTGTTATAACTACATGACAAGAAAGCTGTAGAGAGGATTTTCCATTTGCTTCTGGGTTCCCTTCTGCTGTTATAACCCCAACACCAGAAACATAATGAAATGACTTTTCATCAGAAGAGCTGCTTTTTCATTGGCCCTAGTTATTGCTATAATGTAGAAATTATTTTGCATTCATATCCAACACCAAAAATCCAAAATAACTAAATTTTAGAAAAACAAAAAAAAAAAAAAATATTTCTTCAGCCATTTCAATCAACACCAAATAGCCAAAAAACCTACTGATCTGTTGTAAAATATGACAAAGTGTAAAGAAACTTTTTCTCTTCTTCTGTTTTTCATTATAGTACTACACAACCTGCTCCACATTTGGACAAGTAAGTGTGCCATCGATTTATATTCCAACGAGATTTTTACTTGACCTATATTTTGTTTTCATTTTTTAGTGTCCATGTTGTTTTCGGTCACGTTGTATCGGGACAAGAATTAGTACGTCAAATTGAAGATTTGCCAGTTGATCGCAATTCAAGGCCACTGCAAGATGTCGTTGTAGCTAATTGTGGTGAATTGATTAAGCAAATAAAGAGTAAGTTGGGCAATATATGTCATTTGGTATATTATCCTGTTGTATTAAATTTTTTATTTTATATTTAGTTAAAAAAGATAAGAAGAAAAAGAAACGCGCCGCATCTTCAGATGATGACAAGTCGGCCAGTGAATCCGATGATGAGAAGTCAAGCAAGCGTAAGGACAAAAAGAAGAAAAAGAAGCGGTCCAAATCCGAGGAAAAAGATAAGTAAGTCGTAGAATGAAGTCTACTTCTTTCCATAAATGTTAGAAGCAAAACAGAATACACGTGAAACTTGTTATTTGAAAATTCAATGACAGTTTTCTCCCAAAAAGATTGGATCACTCAGTTCCTTTTTACTTCGTGTAAGAGCCTTTTTACTAACCATGCCGCTATTACGCTATCAGATAATTTATGAAACCTCTGCTATAGAGAAGGCAACCGTCTCGCCTGTTCCAATGTTGTTGTTGTAGCAGTCGTACATGTGGATGTTTGTATTCTGCTAATCTGGTTCAAGCTCCAGGTTTAAAGATCCGACTAAATTAATAGGCTGTAACCAGAATAAAGACGACAGCACCACCCTGAACGACAGCACTACCCTGGTTTGTCTAGGCAGCTGGCATTCTTCAGCTGTACTCCTATAATTGCTGATAACATCTGCAATTGATAGGCTTTTTGATGTAGAGGTTCCCTCTAATAGCGTTGGACCTCCCTCTCTAGATCATGAATATGATGGTTGGGATGACTCCCATGATAACTTCCAAACAAGTACTGCAACGAAAGCATATGATTATGCTGAGAAAAGTGAAGGACTTTTGCCTCCTCATGTAGATGGTTCATTGGTGTCATGAGGTGTCTCCTCCCCGTCATAGTTCTGGCAAGTCTGGATGTACTTCCACTGCTTAGCCCTAGTATTCGCAGATCACACTGGAGCCGCAAAGCTGACCACAGGCCGACCTGTCGCTTTATAAGAGGTCAACAAGTTGTCCTTGTCCGCAACCTAAGCCAACCGACTAGCGCCTTGAGGACCTTGTTCCTACTTTTCATCTTGTCGCAGATAGCTGTGGCTTGCGCGGACAACTTGAACATTCTGTCGAATGTGACCCCTAGAATCTTGTGGTAGTTCGTGGTATTAAATTTCCTCGACTTGCACATTCAGATGTGTTCTCATCTCCGTAGACCATGTGATATTCGTGGCGGATATTTTCATATTCCTCGCGTGGTAGTATGCGGCAAGCTCCGCGAGATAGGGGTTCAACCTTTCACATATGTCATGAACCACTGGGCCATACGCCATGATCGTACAATCATCCGAATACGTTACGATCTCTATGCCGTCTAGAGGGCGAGGAACTCCGGAATGGTATAGGTTAAACAGTTCCGAAGATATCACACTACCTTGGGAACTCTCTGTTTCACTTTACGGGCTTTGGACGTCTTGTTCCAGAATTCCACGTACGATTGGCGTCCAACATTTCAAACTTGCCCGGAGGGTAGTTCTCTGCACATCTTTAAACAGTGGGGCATGATTGACCGTATCAAATGCCTTTGATAGGTCAAAGTCTACCAACACTATTCTATCACACGGCTTGTTCTTGCTTAATCCTCTACTAATATGTGTGGAAACGTGCTGATGGTTGGACGGAATACGTTCTGATGTTTGGCAACTGCGTAGCTTCCTCTAATGCTGGGGAGGACTAAGGCCTCCAGAGCCTTAGCTACTGGCGACAAAAACGAAATAGGCCTGTACACCTTTGCTGGCATCCTTGCCTGGCTTCAGTAGCGGGACCACCAGACCCATTTTCCAGACTTCGGAAACTATTTGGGTGGCTAGCGACAGGTTGACAACGTTTGCTCAACTCCCGTCGTATCCAGTTGTTTCAGCATTACCATGGAGATTCCGTCTGGGACAAACGCTTTGGATGAAATTTGTAACATTACCCATCGTAAACTGTGGTGGTTCCTCCTCGGCATGAAGATATCTGAGTAGTACTCTTCGCTTCGCGTCGCTCTCGGTGTGCTGTATATAGCGAGCGGCTGTAGCTTTAATGATGAATCGGAAAATCCTTTCTGCTACCCGAACATTAGAATGGTTGGGCAGTTTTCTGAAGCGACGTTCTATTAGATTTCTCATGGATAAGGAAAGTGTGGCTTTCAGAGGTTATGAAATCGGCCGACCTGCTTATAAAGACTATTATCGTGAGATGGTCTGAGCCAAGAAAAATGGCGGGTGTTGCCAATGTTTTTTGTTATTAAATATCAGTTTAGAAGATAATTCATCTGCATCGAATATTTTAAGAAAACTACAGCATTTATAAACTCTTATTGCAGTTTAGAAAATCGTCAGAACAAGATGTCGTGAAGTCGATGTGAAGTATACTGTAGTGAGGAAGGTACTATCATGTGTTCAATACCTTTTTTGCTTAGAAGTTCAATATAACAAGTTGCAGTGCGAATATAAAGGCATTGTTTTGCTATGATGTCGTCAGCTTTGGTTTCTCTCAACTAAAAACCCATTCTGATATAATTCCATATTTGTTACAACTTTATTTTAATTGTTTGTTTTTATTACAGATCTATTTCTGACAAAGAAACTGAAGAAGGTGAAGCATCTGATCTTGACGAGGGTGAACTGCATCCATTGGTAACGGTTACCAAGATTGATCCATCTGAAATTCCAGAGGTATTGTATTTTCCATAAAATGTTAGAGACTTCATCTAAATTGTGTGTTATATATCTGTTTTAGGTCTCTAATAAGTTTCTACTACGTGATGATGGATCTAAACGCAATCACGATAAGGAAGATCGTCGTGGTAATTCTCGTGAACGTGCAGGAAAGGCTGAAGGACGTAATGCTTTCGGTTGGTCTAAGAAAAACGTTCCCACATCACGTAGTGGTCGTATTATCAAGGGAAGAGGAGTTTTCGTAAGAATTTTAAAATATTTAAAAAATTAAAACACGAGGTATAAACAAATATTTATTTCAGCGTTTTCGTACTCCATCACGTTCTCGTTCGCGCAGTACAACTCCACCACATTGGAAAAGAGCTCAAAACCGCACTATAAAAATGTCGGATCTTGAAAAAATTGAAGAAGAGAAGAAAATACGTGAAGAGGAAATACGACGACGAGAAATTGAGCGTAAAAAGCGGCACGAAGAAGCCGCTAAAAATCCCAAGAAATCGTTCTTTGAATTATCCCATGCCAGTTCATATGGAGGAAAAAATACCGACGATGGTTCCCCTGATCGCAGGGATGACAACCGCAGACGTCGCGATGACCGCGAACATGATGATAAGGGCAGAGATAGAGAGCGCACACGTGACCGTGAAAGAGATAGAAATCGTGATCCAGAAAGAAATCGTACCACTTCAAAGTCTAATAAAGAGGACGAAATGCCGCCACGCAGCAAAGAACGTAAGAAGTCAGTGGATTTAAATGCTTTGGACTATGAACATCAGTCTGATAGTGAAGCGGAAGGAGAAACGGGTGATGATGCCGCTGAAAGTTCGACGAAACGACCAAAATCAGCCTTGGTGGCTATTTCGCGAATCTCTCAAAATGATCGAAAGAGGGAGAGGGAAAACGAACGTGAGAAGGATCGTGAAAGAGAAAAGGAAAGGGAACGTGAGAAAGAACGGGAAAAAGAAAGAGAAAAAGAAAAAGAGCGTGAAAAGGAAAGAGAGAAAGAAAAAGAGCGTGAAAAGGAAAGGGAGAAAGAAAAAGAACGCGAGAAAGAAAAGGAAAAAGAAAAACAAAGACTTGCTGAAAAGGAAAAAGATAAAGCAAAGGAAAGAGACAATCGAAATAGACGTAACTCCCGTACCAAATCACGATCAAAATCCCGTAGCCGTACTCGTTCAAAGTCAAGATCTAGATCGAGATCGAATTCGAGACGTCGCCGCTCACCTATGCGCAATGATAGAAGGATGGTTGGTCGCCGGCAAGGTTTCAATTCACCTCAGCGCCGTAGAAATTTCAACTCCTTCAGAAACAATCCCTTCAACGACCGAAGACGTCGTTCACGCTCATTGGGTGACCGTTTCCGCAATCGTTTTCCCCTATCACCGATACGGCGTCGTTCTTCTGTAGATCGTTCACGTGATCGACGATCTCGTGATCGCCGTGACAGGTCACGCAGCCGAACCAAGTCTCGAAGCGGTTCTCCAGCACGACGTGGTCGTGATAGGCGGGACAAGGATCGTAATGAACGTGATCGTAGTCATGATCGTCAACGTAGCCGCAGCCGTAATCGTAGTCGCGATCGTCGTCATTCTAGATCAAAATCTCGTTCAGTAAGCCGACAACGTCGAAATAACAGATCATCCTCTAGATCGCCAAGACGTTCTAGATCCAACACTGATCGTCAGACAAGACGTTCGCACGATCGACAATCGCCAAAGAAAAGTATGGAAACTTCAACTTCTGGTGCCATATCGGCCCAGTCCGAAAGCAATACGGAAACTGCAGCTCGCGAAAAACAGCAAAAGCGTGCCGAGGCTTTGCTAATGTTTAAAGAGCATATGCGCAAAGAAATTGCAAAAGAAGAGGAAAAGAGAGCGGAGAAACAACGCATAGAGGATTTGGAAAAAGAGAGAACTGCACGAGAGCTCGAAGAATTGGAACGGCTAAAGGAGGAGACCCTGAAAAAACTCCAAGAACATGAAAAACTAAAAGAACTTGGAACAACGACTGATGCTAAGGCAGGTAGTGAAGATAATGATGAAAAATCCCGCGAAAAGAAGAAAAAACGTAAGAAATCCAAGAAACACACACGATCCTCAGTTTCAGACGCAGAATGAATGAACTTAGTTTCCAATCCCTTCGCCTCGTATGACATGGGTATTAAGCAGATGTATACCCCCGTTCCCCGCTTTTTGTTAGAAACTTTGAATGCATTTCTTTTGTGTGAATGTCTATTTGGATTGAATATGAGAAATTCCCATGGGATAATTAATATGTATTCTTTGAATATTTCAATTATTTACATAACGGTTTTTAATGAATAAATAAAATGGAATTTAAAATTATTACAAAAGAAAAAGGATTTTTTTTGAAAAATAAATACTAGACTTGTAAATATTTATCTCTAGATAACCTTCCAAACTGCCAGATTAATGTCGGACGGATCGACAATTCTATATATTACTATGCATATTTAGTAGAGCTATCCGTAGGAAAAAAAGGTTTATATTGAGAAATAAATAACTGATCACAAATAATAACTAATACAGCCGAAAACACAATATTTAAGAAGTTATGGCTATTTAAAATATTCCATAATTCATGCTTAAATAACTGATCACAAATAATAGCTAAAAACGCTGAAAACTCAATATTTAAGGAGTTATGGCCATTTTAAAATTCCTATTATTTCACACTTAAAAAAGTGATCACAAATAATAGCTAAAAACGCTGAAAACTCAATATTTAAGGAGTTATGGCCATTTTAAAATTCCTATTATTTTACACTTATATAGTATTCACAAATAATAGCTAAAAACGCTGAAAACTCAATATTTAAGGAGTTGTGGCCATTTTAAAATTCCTATTATTTCACACTTAAAAAAGTGATAACAAATAATAGCTAAAAACGCTGAAAACTCAATATTTAAGGAGTTATGGTCATTTTAAAATTCCTATTATTTCACACTTAAAAAAGTGGTCACAAATAATAGCTAAAAACGCTGAAAGCTCAATATTTAAGGAGTTATGGCCATTTTAAAATTCCTATTATTTCACACTTAAAAAAGTGATCACAAATAATAGCTAAAAACGCTGAAAACTCAATATTTAAGGAGTTATGGCCATTTTAAAATTCCTATTATTTCACACTTAAAAAAGTGATCACAAATAATAGCTAAAAACGCTGAAATCTCAATACTTGAGGAGTTATGGCCATTTTAAAATTCCTATTATTTCACACTTAAAAAAGTGATCACAAATAATAGCTAAAAACGCTGAAAATTCAATATTTAAGGAGTTATGGCCATTTTAAAATTCCTATTATTTCACACTTAAAAAAGTGATCACAAATAATAGCTAAAAACGCTGAAAACTCAATATTTAAGGAGTTATGGCCTTTTTAAAATTCTTACTAATTCACTCTTAAAAAGTGATCACAAATAATAGCTAAAAACGCTGAAAACTCAATATTTAAGGAGTTATGGCCATTTTAAGATCGATATTATTTCACACTTAAAAAAGTTATCACAAATAGCTAAAAACGCTGAAAACTCAATATTTAAGGAGTTATGGCCATTTTAAAATTCTTACTAATTCACACTTAAAAAAGTGATCACAAATAATAGCTATAAACGCTGATAACTCAATATTTAAGGAGTTATGGCCATTTTAAAATTCCTATTATTTCACACTTAAAAAAGTGATCACAAATAATAGCTAAAAACGCTGAAACTCAATATTTAAGGAGTTATGGCCTTTTTAAAATTCTTACTAATTCACACTTAAAAAAGTGATCACAAATAATGGCTAAAAACTCAATATTTAAGGAGTTATGGCTATTTTAAAATTCCTATTATTCCACACTTACAAAAGTTATCACAAATAATAGCTAAAAACGCTGAACATTTAATATTCAAGGAGTTATGGCCATTTTAAAATTCGTATTATTTCACACTTAAAAAAGTGATCACAAATAATAGCTAAAAACGCTGAAAACTCAATATTTAAGGAGTTATGGCCATTTTAAAATTCCTATTATTTCACACTTAAAAAAGTGATCACAAATAATAGCTAAAAACGCTGAACATTTAATATTCAAGGAGTTATGGCTATTTTAAAATTCCTATTATTTCACACTTAAAAAAGTGATCACAAATAATAGCTAAAAATGCTGAAAACTCAATGTTTAAGGAGTTATGGCCATTTTAAAATTCCTATTATTTCACACTTAAAAAAGTGATCACAAATAATTGCTAAAAACGCTGAAAACTCAATATTAAAGGAGTTATGGCTATTTTAAAATTCCTATTATTTCACACTTAAAAAAGTGATCACAAATAATAGCTAAAAACGCCGAAAACTCAATATTTATGGAGTTATGGCCATTTTAAAATTCTTACCAATTCACACTTAAAAAGGTGATCACAAATAATAGCTAAAAACGCTGAAAACTCAATATTTAAGGAGTTATGGCCATTTTAAAATTCCTATTATTTCACGCTTCAAAAAGTGATCACAAATAATAGCTAAAAACGCTGAACATTTAATATTCAAGGAGTTATGGCCATTTTAAAATTCCTATTATTTCACACTTAAAAAAGTGATCACAAATAATAGCTAAAAACGCTGAACATTTAATATTCAAGGAGTTATGGCTATTTTAAAATTCCTATTATTTCACACTTAAAAAAGTGATCACAAATAATAGCTAAAAACGCTGAAAACTCAATATTTAAGGAGTTATGGCCATTTTAAAATTCCTATTATTTCACACTTAAAAAAGTGATCACAAATAATAGCTAAAAACGCTGAAAACTCAATATTTAAGGAGTTATGGCCATTTTAAAATTCCTATTATTTCACACTTAAAAAAGTGATCACAAATAATAGCTAAAAACGCTGAAAACTCAATATTTAAGGAGTTATGGCCATTTTAAAATTCTTACCAATTCACACTTAAAAAGGTGATCACAAATAATAGCTAAAAACGCTGAAAACTCAATATTTAAGCAGTTATGGCCATTTTAAAATTCCTATTATTTCACACTTCAAAAGGTGATCACAAATAATAGCTAAAAACGCTGAACATTTAATATTCAAGGAGTTATGGCCATTTTAAAATTCCTATTATTTCACACTTAAAAAAGTGATCACAAATAATAGCTAAAAACGCTGAAAACTCAATATTTAAGGAGTTATGGCCATTTTAAAATTCTTACCAATTCACACTTAAAAAGGTGATCACAAATAATAGCTAAAAACGCTGAAAACTCAATATTTAAGGAGTTATGGCCATTTTAAAATTCCTATTATTTCACATTTAAAAAAGTGATCACAAATAATAGCTAAAAACGCTGAAAACTCAATATTTAAGCAGTTATGGCCATTTTAAAATTCCTATTATTTCACATTTAAAAAAGTGATCACAAATAATAGCTAAAAACGCTGAAAACTCAATATTTAAGGAGTTATGGCCATTTTAAAATTCTTACCAATTCACACTTAAAAAGGTGATCACAAATAACAACTAAAAAGGCTGAAAACTCAATATTTAAGTAGTTATGGCCATTTTAAAATTCCTATTATTTCACACTTAAAAAAGTGATCACAAATAATAGCTAAAAACGCTGAAAACTCAATATTTAAGGAGTTATGGCCATTTTAAAATTCCTATTATTTCACATTTAAAAAAGTGATCACAAATAATAGCTAAAAACGCTGGAACTCAATATTTAAGGAGTTATGGCCATTTTAAAATTCCTATTATTTCACACTTAAAAAAGTGATCACAAATAATAGCTAAAAACGCTGAAAACTCAATATTTAAGGAGTTATGGCCATTTTAAAATTCCTATTATTTCACACTTAAAAAAGTAATCACAAATAATAGCTAAAAACGCTGAAAACTCAATATTTATGGAGTTATGGCCATTTTAAAATACTTACCAATTCACACTTAAAAAGGTGATCACAAATAATAGCTAAAAACGCTGAAAACTCAATATTTAAGGACTTATGGCCATTTTTAAATTCTTACTAATTCACTCTTAAAAAAGTGATCACATATAATAGCTAAAAACGCTGAAAACTCAATATTTAAGGAGTTATGGCCATTTTAAAATTCCTATTATTTCACACTTAAAAAAGTTATCACAAATAATAGCTAAAAACGCTGGAACTCAATATTTAAGGAGTTATGGCCTTTTTAAAATTCTTACTAATTCACTCTTAAAAAGTGATCACAAATAATAGCTATAAACGCTGAAAACTCAATATTTAAGTTATGGCCATTTTAAAATTCTTACTAATTCACTCTTAAAAAGTGATCACAAATAATAGCTAAAAACGCTGAAAACTCAACATTTAAAGAGTTATGGCCATTTTAAAATTCCTATTATTTCACACTTCAAAAAGTGATCACAAATAATAGCTAAAAACGCTGAACATTTAATATTCAAGGAGTTATGGCCATTTTAAAATTCCTATTATTTCACACTTAAAAAAGTGATCACAAATAATAGCTGAAAACGCTGAAAACTCAATATTTAAGGAGTTATGGCCATTTTAAAATTCCTATTATTTCACACTTAAAAAAGTGATCACAAATAATAGCTAAAAACGCTGCAAACTCAATATTTAAGGAGTTATGGCCATTTTAAAATTCCTATTATTTCACACTTAAAGAAGTGATCACAAATAATAGCTAAAAACGCTGAAAAATCAATATTTAAGGAGTTATGGCCATTTTAAAATTCTTACCAATTCACACTTAAAAAGGTGATCACAAATAATAGCTAAAAACGCTGAAAACTCAATATTTAAGGAGTTATGGCCATTTTAAAATTCCTATTATTTCACACTTAAAAAAGTGATCACAAATAATAGCTAAAAACGCTGAAAACTCAATATTTAAGGAGTTATGGCCATTTTAAAATTCTTACCAATTCACACTTAAAGAGGTGATCACAAATAATAGCTAAAAACGATGAACATTTAATATTCAAGGAGTTATGGCCATTTTAAAATTCCTATTATTTCACACTTAAAAAAGTGATCACAAATAATAGCTAAAAACGATGAACATTTAATATTCAAGGAGTTATGGCCATTTTAAAATTCCTATTATTTCACACTTAAAAAAGTGATCACAAATAATAGCTAAAAACGCTGAAAACTCAATATTTAAGGAGTTATGGCCATTTTAAAATTCTTACCAATTCACACTTAAAAAGGTGATCACAAATAATAGCTAAAAACGCTGAAAACTCAATATTTAAGGAGTTATGGCCATTTTAAAATTCCTATTATTTCACATTTAAAAAAGTGATCACAAATAATAGCTAAAAACGCTGAAAACTC